GCCCACACCGCAGATTCCAGCTTGTCCGTGATCTTCCAACCCTGGGGTCCTGCCCGACGCATTTCACACTGCCGGCTCCAATTCATAGGCTAATTCCTTGTAAAAAATAGATGAATGGATGGATAAATAGCTAATTGATAGGTAAATAGATACAGATAGAGATGAATATAGATACAGATGCAGAAATATATAGATGCAGATCGCCTACAGCTGGTTCTGCTTCCCTGGCTCAACTCTGACTAATAGAGATTTTGGTACCAGGAGTGAGGTTAGCAAACAGGAAGTCCAGGTGTCCCTGAAGTCCTCAACTGTGAACCAAACCAAACAAAACAACACAAAAACAAAAGTGAGACTAAAGGAGAGGAAAAGAGCCTCATGTCATTGTTCCCAGGCCTTTGAAGCAAGGTGGGGGTGATTTATAGAAAGGCTAAGTAACATTGTAAAGAGGAAACAATTACAAATTCAATAGCTATTTTTTCTAAGCTTCCAAATCCTAAAAATGCAGTGCACTTGCCCCCTAGGAAAAAAAGGCTACTTTCATTACAATGCCAGTTAATTCCATAATAATCAGTTGAATCCCGACAATTCAAATCATTCCTGGAAGTCTCTACCAACTGGCAGATAAAAAAAAATTAAACGACTGAGTTGCCCTGGCTTCTGCCTTTCCCCCAAACCTCCAACCCCAAAGGCCTCCTGCCTTTACATCTCGGGGCAGGAGTTTGGTTTACGTCTTCATGGTTCTGCCTCTCCATTCCCATGAAGGTGACCAAATCCACTGTCCTGGAAGTCATTTGGCTAACAGATGTTTATTGACGCTTACTCAATCCATGCACTGCTCTGGGTGCTGAAGATAAGTTATTGCCCTCAAGAGTTTGTTTTGTGGTGGGAGAAACGTCATTTTTTGCCTACTTCTATATGTACTCTTTATCTTATTTCCTTGTTTTATTTTAATATATGAATAAGTAAGGAAGTAATTTCAGAATGTAGAAAGGATGGTGATGAGCATGAAATTAGGTCATGGGGTAGAAGCAATGACAGGAGGCAAGAGAGCACAGGGCAGAACTCTGAGGGGCGAGGACCTGGACGATGAGCTGGAAGGAATTGCCCATAGATGTGGAGTGTGGAGGATCCTAGAAGTCGCCACATAGTCTTCCACTCCCCTCAAGAGGTGGGATCCACGTTTTTGCCCTTGAGTCTGGTTTGGCCATAGGGCCTGCTTTGGCTAATGGGGTATTAGCAAAAGTGATGCAAAGGCTTGAAAAGCATGGGCACATCGGGACTCCCTCTCTTGCTGCTCCTGGGAGCCCTGCGACTTCCAGCATCTGAAGACATCCCAGGCCCACCCGCTGGATGCCAGGAGACACTTCACAAATCACCCCTGTGGTCCTGCGCCTGACAGCCTCATAGCCACGCCAACCACCAGCTCGTGCATGCCTGAGCCCAGCCGAGGTCAGGTGAACCTGCCAGGCCAGAAGAACCCCCCAGTCAATCCACAGACATCTGAGATAAATAGGTGGTGGTTGTTGAAAACCATTAAGCTGTGGGGTGTCCGTTAGCCAGAAACGCTCACTGATACGTGGGGGCAGTGGGTACAGACCTGGTACACTGGAGGTGGGTCCTAGGAAGCCTCATAAAGCCCACTGTCTCCCTCAGCCTCCAGCCTTATCCAAGCTCTGGGATTACAGACTTACTCTGGGGATGCGACTCCCTACGGTGGCTCACATTTCTGCCTATCTTCCAAGCAGAGGCGCTGACTCTTTGTTCCAGGATATTTTTTCAAGGATTTCTGTTTAGTGAACAGCCTCAGAAGACAGAGTGTGGCCCCTCGGAGCACAGGGTAAGCATGCTTCCAGATTGGAGTTCTGTAAGCTCAGAGGTCCTCTCCAGTAACAAACCCCACTGCACGGGCAGGCATCACCTGGTCCTGTCAGTGTCACCCCGTGAGAACCAGGGCTTGGGGAGTGGGTGCAAGAAATCGCCGACAGCACTGTGTGTAATAAAGGCTTTCGTCTCCCCCCTCGGGAGGCTCGGGGCTTTGCCAGCATCCATGACACTGTGGCAGATGAACTTACTGAACTGCAAGAGGGCAAAATCTCAGACCTTTCATGGTTCCTGACACCAATGAATCACAGATCCCGTGTATAAAACTATCAGCGCAACTCGCATAGGGGAATGCTGCTTAGTGTCTGTAAAGGTCCATTTCTCTGCAAATGGCCCTGCAAGAGCACATTATGTGCCTGTTCCCAGAAACTCCAGGACAGGGACATCTGTACACATCCTTCTTGTTCTTTTAAAGGACAGGGGATAAAAGTGTAAGGTCAAATCCACTTTTCAAATCATTAGAGAAACAGGAAATGGTGGGCTACATACAGATATAGTAGGAACACAGATTTCAAGGCAAAAGGAAAACATAGCTCGTCTGTCCCCTTTCTGCTTTTGCTCCCCCCTGCCCCCAGCCCAGGCACGCATCAGAAAGCAAGCCGATGAGCAGTCCGATGCATGGACTCCATCACCGGGGCCCGTGATTTCAGAGATCCATGAAGCCAAAAAACTTTTTAAGTCTTTGATATGACAGCTTGAGAAAAACAATCACAGTTCTTGCTCCACTGGCTACATACACAGAACTTTTCAGGCATCTTAGCATTTTAACACATTTCAAAATGCCATTTTCGAGGCAAGAGAGATTTATAGATTTGTTTCTAATCCCAGTGTCTTCAATTCGGCATTTTTACCGGGAAGCTGCGTCTATACATTGAACTCATGGTCAGGCTTGTCGGGGGAAGCCGCCGCCCCTCCTAGGACATCAGAAGGAGGCGGCTGATGTAGGAAAGACACTGAAGCTCCTCGGAGAAACCACTTAAGGCATCAGTTAAATGCTGAGATGTCCTACAGATGAGCAGCTACTTAACCAGAGCATCTTAGCAGAGCTGAGCCCCTGAGCTGGGCTTCCAGAAAATGTCCTTGTCTTCCATCTCTGGGTAAATGGTTTGTGGGAATCTTTCCCCACGAGGCTCAGATTCAGCAGGACAGGAGCCATCCACGTGTTCCGTCAGCTGGGGGGCACTAATTCCTCCAAGTATGTGGAATGGTGATTTTCAACCCTGATTGCTCGGTAGAAACTCCTGGGGACCTTTCGAAATAATATTGATTTCCAGAGGCCTACCTCAGGCCAAGGAAGTTAGAATCACAGGGAGAGCCAGGAAGGAAAACCCTGTTCAAATATAACATGAAGGTATAGCTCTAAGTATATAAATATCAACTCAAACAGGGTACCTGGGTGGCTCAGTTGGTTAAGAATCCAACTCTTGATCTCGGTTCAGGTCATGATCTCAGGGTGGTGAGATGGAGCCCCACATCAGGCTCCTTGCTTGTGCACAGTTTGCTTGAGATTCTCTCTCCCTTTCCTTCTGCCCCTCCCCCATGGCACTCTCTTTCTTTCTCTCTAATAAATAAATCTTAAATAAATAAATAGCAACTCAAACAGCCTTACTCCCAAATTTGCTCCATTCTAGAGGGTAAAATGAAGGTGAGTGTTGAGATATTTATTTATTTACTTATTTAGCCTCTCATTCATTTGTTCATTCATTCCACATTTGTTGAACACCTGGTCGATGTCAGGTTCTAACCTCAAGGTGTCACAGTGCACCAGGAAAGACAGCAAGAGAACCAGCAACTTTTTTTTAAAGTTTTTATTTATTTATTTTAGAGAGAGAGAGTAGGGGGCAAGGCAGAGGGAGAGAATGTCAAGCAGACCACACTGAGCACAGAGCCCAATGTAGGGTTCAACCTCACAACCCTCGAGATCATGACCTGAGCCAAAACCAAGAGTCAGACACTCACCAACTGTGTACAGATGTCCCAAGAACCAGCAACTTTAATGGCCCAGAGGTGGAAATGCAGAACACAGCAAGAATGCAGCAGAAGGGTTCCCACCCTTCATTTGGGGAGCACATGTCTTTCTTCTGCCCACCTAGTCCTGTCCTCCGAACTTCGCACCTGTACCTCCAGTCATCATGCATGTGTGGCTGTGGGGTCCGGGTCAACCTTCATTTGCAATTCTTTACCAAAGCCAGATGGTGCTTTGAATAAATCCTGTGAGCACCTGAATGGCGTTTTCCTTTCTGATTTGGAACGGAGATTTCCAGAAAGAACAGGAAAAAACAACTGACATTCCTAAACCCCAAGGTTACATGCAAATTCAGAAGTGACACACTCTGGGTAGGTTTGAAGCTAGAGAACAAGCTGACAAAATGGGTGCTTGGTGTCATCTACAAGGAGGAAGAAATTGCCATAACAGAAACTTCTTTGGAAAAATATCATCCCAGAGCAGAGATGCCAAGGAGCACATGCAGAATCAGAGCTGGAGAAAACAAGACCATGCTCAGATCTTGAACTGCAAAATATTATTTATTCTTAGGGAATGGGTAGTAACTATCTTCTGTCACATCATCAGTGAGTATAATCTGCCTTTTTTTTTCATGCACTATCAAGTGTCCTCCATAAAATGAGCCCTACAGACCAACCTCTTTTCTGGGAATGCTGAATCCTGTAGTGTCCCCTTTTTTTTTTTTTTTTTTTTGGTTTTCTGGAATGAACACTGCTGTGTGAGTCCTTCATGCTGTAGGAAAACTGGACTCAGTGTCAGCTCCGTGACTCGCTGACTGGATGATTTTAGGAAAGGCATCGAAGCACTCTGGAAATGTATGCCCGTGGTCTGCCTACTGGGCATGAGGATCACAGGATTGCTGCAGAGAATGAATGAAATGAGAGGAGCCGCACTTTTGGTTCAGCACTGGGCACACAGCAGGTGTTTAGGAAGAGGAGTCACCGGTAGGTCCACAGTCCAAACCCAGCCTGGGAAGGGGGCATAACATGGCAACCTGGAATCTCTGGCTTCCTGCAACGGTGCCCTGCTTGTTTCTCCTTATCTAACAAGTGAGAGAGCAAAACTCCTGCATTTAATAAACAGTATCTCCCAGATCAGCCCTGTGTGACTCATTTTTGCCGGCAAGCAGCTGGAAGATGGTCGCACTCTTTCTGATTACAACATCCGGAAAGAGTCGACCCTGCACCTGGTCCTGCGCCTGAGGGGTGGCATGCAGATCTTCGTGAAGACCCTGACCGGCAAGACCATCACCCTGGAGGTGGAGCCCAGTGATACCACTGAAAACGTGAAGGCGAAGATCCAAGATAAAGAGGGCATCCCCCCTGACCAGCAGAGACTTATCTTTGCTGGCAAGCAGCTGGAAGATGGCCGCACTCTTTCTGATTACAACATCCAGAAAGAGTCAACTCTCCACCTGGTTCTCCGTCTCAGGAGTGGCTGTTAATTCTTCAGTCTTGAATTCATAGTGCCCAATGATGGCATTGCTCTGCACTATAGCCATTTGCCCCAATTTAAGTTTAGAAATTACCAGTTTCAGTAATAGCTGAATCACTGGTTTTCTCAATAGCTGTTCAAAATGTTAATAAAAGTTTTGTTGCATGGTAAAAAAAAAAAAAAAAAAGAGCAGATAAGGGACAATTTCAGGAAGCTGACACACCAAACCCCAGCTCTCTCACACATTGTCAAGTTGAAAGTGTCTGTAATATCCTGTTGCTGCCTATCTATTTAGACTCTTCACTTTAGCACTGTGAAGCCAAGTTTTCAAAAACTCTGGTAGGCACATGGAGAGAAACGTGATTTCCTCTCAGGTTACACACGAACTTCTATTTCAGAGCCCTTTTCCAGAGTCGGGCCGACGACTGTGAAGTGAGGGAGATGAGCAGGGAGGTGAGATGATGAGGCAGGACTCTTCAAGAAGCATTAAAGTCGAAGAGAACCAGGGTCTGAGGTGGGCGCCCCGAAGGAAGGCACATCTGGGGCCCAAGCCTGCTGGGATCAGGGACGACCAGGGACAGCTGCCACAGACGGTGGGAGTTTTAAATGGCAAGCACCCACCTCCAGGGCCAGCACCCACTTCCTCCATTCTCCAGGATGGCTCTTCCTGGCGCAGACGGACCAACGAGGACCATTTACTGAGAGCCACTCTGACACAGACTTCCGACGGCTCACTGGGTTTCCAGAAATCAAGCTCCTGGGTCCTCAGTCCCCAAGAAAAATGGAGTCATTTGAACTTGTTTATTAGGCTTTGTCTGGAAGCAAAAGTGGACAGGGGAGCACCTTATCATCTGTAATCTTCACCTTTTCTTCTTTTGGCACTGACTGGGGAGTGGGTCAATTTAGATATGACTTTTATCCTGGCTTACCTTATTCAGAATCACTGAGCTAACTCCACATTTTCTTTCAAGATCAGGAGACCACTTCAGAAACACATATGTCGCTTCAGAATGACATATGGGCACTCAAGTAGTCTGCCATATTCTCGATCCCCAGAAGTGAAAACAAAAAAGAAATTATTACAGAGAGATATTGAAGAACCAAGAAAAAAAATGAATGCAAAGTCCTCGTGTCTAATTGGTCAATTAATTTTAAGGAATGAAGGCTGTAAATCAGGAAAACAGATACACCGTACCGTAAACATGTTATTTTAAATATAGACCCACACATCACTTCATCAGGGCCTTCCCACTGGGTATGGGTCCATTAATTTAAATTTCCCATTGTCCTTCTCGCAAAAAAAAAAAAAAAAATTCAGACACATCACTCTGGTGGAGACTGCTGGCTCTTCACCCAAATTTATTCTCCCCCACTCCATAAGAACAGATTGCAGTTCAGTGTGTTTCTGGCCTCAAACCGTACATTTCCCAGTCTCTCTTTCAGTGAGGCATGATCTCCTGCCTGAGTTGTTGTCAACGGAGTGTTTGCAAAAGTGATGGGTTTGCAACAGAGTGATTGCAGAGGCATCTGGGCTTAAGATAAGGGGAATGCCTTCTTCATGCTCTTTCCTCTTCCAACTCCAGAACCCATAACAGGCTTACAACCATTTAGATAACAAGAGACTTTAAGGGTGCACGGGTCAAAATGATGAAAAAACCTGGACCCCTGAATGCTTGCATACACAGACTTCTCTAGAATGCTAGGGAATGACCTTGAGTGCTCACATTGAATGACTACATAGAAAAGCAAACAAGCAAATAAAAGTTGATCTTCCAGGAGCCGCAGAATTATTACGAGGCCTCTTTGTTCACCAGCTTTCGTCTTCCCTCACAATTCAATCATCTGATCATCTGAGGTGTCCAGCTTCAACTTGTTAATGTGGACTAAAAACATAAAAATATATATATACAGGAAACAATTGGAGGGTAGAATCCATCACATTTTGATGACTTTCCCTCCATTTTTTTTTATAGATGTCTTCATTTGTACATTCATGTTTCATCCTTTTAAAGTAATAACTGACTAAATTCTTCCACAAAACAACACAGTGGACACACACACATTGTGGCACACTCTGACCCTTGGTGTATCAGCCACCGCTTTGCTGCAAACCATCCTCAAACTCCCACGACCGCAGTCAGCCATTCAGGCTGGGTTCTGCTGAGCGCCTCCCTGGGTCAGCTGCAAGCCAGCCAGCTGGGCAGCTCTGCTTCTGGGGGTGGTGCATGTGGCCTGAGGCAGAGGGGGCAACTGGGTCATCATCCAGCAGACTGTCCTGTGCAGGGAGCCAGAGTGTGCAAAGCCTCCTGAGGGCATGTGTTAATTCTGTCACATTCCATGGTTCAAAGCCAAGTCCCAAGGCCAGCCAAACTTCAAGGGCAGAGGAATGGGTGCCACCTCTGGATGGAAGAAACTGCAAAGTCAGATTGGAAAGAGGCGCAGATACAGGAAGGGAGCTTGTTGTAAACATGCTTTCTAAACAGTCTTCCACAGCCAGTAAACATACAACCCAAGGGATGGGGACAGAAGTGAAAGAGAATGCCTGCAGAGTAACGTATTAGCCAAGACTATGCCAATGGGCGCCAAGCATGTCACTCCAAGTTTGGGTGCCAAGCATGGAGGAGATAACATCTCCTCCACATTTTCTCACCTAACCTCCCATTTTACTTTCCTCTTTTCTACTGTAGGTACCATGGCCTCTGTATAGCATGACTGCTCTAGGTCAACATCTTCTAGGACACAAAATTAAATCAGTAAGTTACTGGATACCTACTATGCAAGGCACTATATGGAACTATATGGTCGTGGTGCTTCTAGATTTTACCAAATGAGTGTGAAATAAAACAAGGACATTTTCCAACCTGGGAAACGATCAAGTTCGTTCCACTAACACCCAGAGATGATTTGTCATCACTTAAGTGAACATTTTCCTTGTACAAGCACTCTTCTTTGTGAGTAAAAGCTGTTAGATACTCAATGACAAGAGTATGGTGAAAATGGTAGACTCATACACTGCTGGTTGCATCATCACCAAAGAAAATATTCATGTGACCACATAATTCCAATCCTGAGACTATGTCCTTTGGCAATAAAAGAAGAAAAAAATATATATATAGTAGAACCATATGCAATACCCTAAAATGGAAGCAACCCAAATGTCCAAATTGACCCAAATGTCAATATAGAAAAGTTATTTTATAGCTTTATGATTAGTTTGATTATAATATATTATACATTCATAAAATGGAAATTTTTAGATATATAAAATATTTATAGATAATATTAGATGAGAAAAGCAGACTTCAAAGTTTTAGTAGTAAGGATATGACCATGCAAAATTCTGGGTGCATATCAACAAGAACAGAAAGGCAATACTCAAAGACAAAAGCAGATGTGTTAGAGTAGTAGATTATTTTTAACTTCATACTATTGAAAACAGGGGTGCTACTTGGCAGCATTCCACAGGGATGGAAGGAGAGATGGGTGGGAAGAGTAAAGGGGGAAGAAAGATCGACTAGCCCCAGACGAGATTCACTAACAACAATAGTTTCCATTCTCAGAGCCACCTGGGCGCCCCTCAAAGTGATTTTTTTTTTTACGAACTTTTACGTACTATCGGTATAGGAACTGTGTTAGAGAAAAATGATTTTTAGTGGCTTCTTAACTCATCTGAGTAATTAGGTTCTAATATCAGCCCTTAAAAGAAGAAGCTGCATATGTTCCAATCCTTGGAAATCTCACTGAATCACCTACAAGCCAGCCAGCTGGGCAGCTCTGCTTCCGGGGGTGGTGCAAAAATGTAAGATTTGACATATCCAACCTTGTACAGAATGAGTCTGTAAAAAAGGTATGTATTGTATACAATAATATATGGCATATACTATGAACTAGGTAAGTAACAGCTAACTTTCTCATTTTTTGTTATTTTTCTCTTCTTTTATACTTACAGTATTGACAGTTAAGGGTTTATTTTTTCAAGATTGGTCTCGAAGGCTGACCTCCCAGAAAAAGAGTTGCTCTTCTGCAAAGCTCCAAGGAAACTGGCTCAGAACCACTGTTGGAAGCAATATACTCTGGTCAAGCACAGGATTTGGACTTCCGTTCCCCATCTTGTCAGGGTGGAGCTGAGATGGCTAATCCTGCTATTAGCTGGCCACAAACATGCTAAAAGGTTTGGCCCACAGCCCCTCTCCCTACCACGTGAGGGAAGAGTTAATGATTCCCTAATCATGGAGCTTAAAAGCCCACAGCTTTTTTCCCTCCCTGGAGTCCGCTGCCTGATCCTCCCAGATCACCAGGCCCAAGCTAGATGGTCAAAGCAGACAGACGCACTTTCTCCTGCTCCTGTCTCCGTGGTGTCCCCAGTGAGCGCTGCTCCAGCAGGTCTGACATGTGTCACTTGGCCATTTGCCTTTGTTTGCCTGAAAAGCATATACTTGAATGTGTGTAAGTTAGGATATGCCTCTACTGTACTTGATTTCCTCTCTCACATCCTCTCTAGTTTTGTTAATGGGATGAATGACATTCATGGACATTCTAGTATCCAACCATCTTTGCATTTTGAAAATAAATCAGACTAGGTCATTAAAGCTCTAGCTATAAATACAGGTATACGTACAACATTTGCTGCCAGATCTTCATTCATATCTGACTCCTTTAGTTTGGATCCCAAGATTATACTAACTTTATAAGGTGAATTAAAGAACATTCATTCTTTTATTCTCTTAAAGAAATGGCCCAAGATTGGAATTATGTCCCACAAATATTTGGTAGAATTTACCTACAATGCAGGTGATTTAGGAGGACTGTAGACTTTTCACTACTGATTCAACTTCTGTAAGGATGTAGTTATTGCCGTGGCATTCTGGAAGCCTTAGGTGACAAGCTCTGTTCTCATCATTACCCATTATTGCGTGTTTCCCTACCAGAGTATAAGCTCCACGGAGGAAGCAACTGTGTTGGTCCTGTTGACCACTGTGTTTCCACCTCATAGTACCAGCTTGAAATATATTTGTTGAGTTAATGCATTGTTAAATAAAACCTCAAGAGAATCTACCAAAAAGCTATTAAAAATACTAAAAATATTTAATAATATTAAGTTAGCCAACTACAAAATAAGTATGGAAAGCCTTCTTAAATGTCAGTATTTACTAGTTTAAAAATATTTTCGAATCAAAATTTCCACTTGC